TCTCTCTCTCTCTCTCTCTCTCTCTCTCTCTTTCTCTCTCTCTCTCTTTTTAATTTTGTTAATGGTGTGTGCATTCACTGGAGAGAGACAAAAATAGAGAAAGTGAGAAAGCACACCCCGTAGAGGTTGGTCATGCCACATTCGCTTCCTCTCTATTTCTCCTCTTGGGATTTTGAGAACCCACACACATACATTCACACACGTGCCCAGCATGTTTTTTTAAGCCTCCAGGTTTGGAACTCAAACTGAGCAGTGGGCTATGTGGGATCCAGCCACCTTAACCATCATGCCACAAGCCGGCACAAAATTTATTTCTCGAACTTTGGTTTTGCTCCCTCCTTAACCAATTTTCAGTGCTAATCCTCTGTAATCTCACAGAATAAGGTGATCTAATACTTAAAGCAGATCTGTGTTTTTGCCATTTTTCTCCCATGTTCCTTCAGTATCGCTCTACTAATCGTGCCTTAACTTTTCTATAACGTCAACATCTTCAACTCCATTTTCCAATCTTTTCAGTTTATAAAAAAGTTCCCAAATTTATTCTATTAGCATCTTGCTGTGGTACTTAGCATACTTTAGCAACCAAGCTTTGTGTTCTTCCGAGCTGTGTAAAAGCAAGATATTAGGCACTTCCTCTCACCCGTCTTTCATTTCCCATCATTTTAGCCAACTGTGCTCTGGTTCATGCCCTAGAATTCTATATAAAGTTCTGTTTAAGGCACTGAGAGTCTCATAATTGCCAAATCCAGTGGATTGTTTTGTCTTTATGTCTTCTGTCCTTTCTGGGAGCTTTCTTCTTTAACCTCACTTCATTGTCTGACATGACTGTACTTCTTGCTTATCCACTCAACTTTCAGACCATTTGCTTTAGCTACTTTCATTGGATTATTTTCGGCTAGCCACTTTTTAAACATAAGTAAACAAGGCCCTTTCAACAGAGAAAAGTTCTATGTTATTTATTTACAAAATAATATCTTCATTAATGTTCATCATTACTTTTTTTCTATTTTTAAAGTTGTTTTTTTTTTTTTTTTTTTTTTTGCCATAGGGCATGTGCATAAGACAGAGAAAGAGAAAGTGAAAAATCATTCCTCAGAGGGGTTGGCCATGCCACAATCCCTTTATCTAGTCTCCTCTTGGGGTTTTAGCTATGGATGCACATGTTCCCAGTGTGTTTTTCAAGCCACCAGGTACAGGACTTGAAACACAAAGTCAGCCATGTGAGATCCAACACCTTAACCACCATGCCACCTGCTGAGACAAGTTCATCATTTTGATTCTTTTAATAACTTTTTTTTTCCAGCTTACTGTAAACTTTTTTTCCCTGAGTGAGGAATTTGGGAATAGGTTAGCAGTTAGCTCAGTAGTTCTGCCTCAGAATCTCTCATGAAGTTTCAATCAAGGTCTTTGCTAGAGCTGTAGTCATCTGAATGTTCAACTGAGACTTATGAGTTCACCTCTAAGATGACTCACCACATTGTAGGAGACCTTGGTTTCTTGTTGGCTCTTGGCAGGAAGCCTCAGTTCCTTGCTGTGTGGATGCTCCACAGGGTTCTTGGCAACTGGCTTCCTCCAGAGCAGGCAATCCAAAAGAAAGCAAGGTTGAAACTTCCTCATGACCTGGCCATGGAAGTCATACACTGACATTCTGCTTCTTTCTACTGTTAGAAGTTAATCAACCATTTAGTCCAGCCCATACTCAAAAGGAGAAGAATGAGGCCTCACTTTTTGAGAGGAAGATTAGCCAAGAATTTATGGACACATTTTAAAACCACCACACTGGGCCTCTACCTTCCCCACCAGCCTGAGCAACTCAAAGCTTGCCCTCATCTACATGCTGATGCCATTCCGTGCAGTTATGTATTTATTTATTCATGAGTAAGAGAGACAGATTGAGGCAGAGACAGAGAGAGAAAGAGCACCTCAAATAGAATCTTTACACCAAGCTCAATTCCCAGTCTTAGCCAGTCCTGAATAATGGTCACACATGCCTAGCATATTAAGGGAAGTCCTTAGAAGTGAGCCTAGAACCTTGCCATGTGGATCAGTCAGAATATCACATTTTACTGCTAAGCCTCTATTCAGTCCTTCTTGCACAATTTTCTTCCTTTTTAGCTGCCCAGGGTCCTCTACTCCAATCTCTCCAGGTGTACACAGGCTCTGTGTTATACCTGGACAACTGGGAGACCCCATGATGGTTTTTCCCACTTAACCTCATCACCATTGTCAGAGCTTATCTCTCCTGCACCAGAATTCTACAACACATAGCTAATCTAATAAATTCATTTACTTTTAAGTTTTATGAATACTTGGTAGCTTCTTGTTTATGCACAATCCCCAGCATTAGCAATAGTAAAAATAGAAACCCAATAATTCCAGAGTTTATAGTATAGTAGAAAAGGTAGTATATTAATTCAACAAATCCTCACTCCAAGGCTGTGAAGTAGTGATTATTGCTGGAAATAGGCACAGGATGTTAAGTCTCTTGCCCAAAGATTCAAATGAAGGCAGTGTTTCTCCAGGCATTGGGCAATAACCTTTATGCTGCCACAATTTAAAGTCAGCCATCCTACTTGAGGCCCAATATTTCGGTAATATTTGATTCTGTACAAGAAATAAGCGAGCTTTATCTGTATCTTCTTAACTTATTTAACATTTTCTGCTTTCTGTCATAACATTTTAGCTACAGTGAAAGGGAAAGCGACAAATCATCCCCCAGGGGGGAGGGCGATTCATTGGGCATCAATGAATCAAGGTCTCTGATTGATTCTATTCTTCTTCCCCTTACTGTTGCAGTGTAACTTACAGGAATCCTTTTGTTTTCATTTTAGAATATTTGAGCAAGAAGCATATTCAAATTTTACTTGCATATTCCTATACTGATTACTAAAAAGATATTTCAGAAATGCACTGCCCAGTATAGCCTTGGTGGTATGATGTAAGATGCTGTGGTCCACAGATCGGGTCCTTGTAAGAGTCTGGTTTGAGTCCAACCTAATGGCCTATTTGCCACCATGATATAATCCCAATGGTTCATGGAGGCTGAGGTGGCAGGCATGGTGGTCAAAGCCTGTAAGTCCCAGCTGAGAGGCTGAGGCAGGAGAATCAGCACATTGTAAGACCCTATCTTAAAAAGAGAAAAGAGGGCTAACAGATGTTATAGCAGTTATGTCGCTGAACTCCCATATGGAGTCAAGTCTTGAACCCATGGCTTGAAACACATGCCAGTCATGTGTGTATGCATGCCCAAGATCCCAGGAGGATAATGGAAAAGAAGGTATTGAAGCATGACCATCCCCCCAGGTGATGATTTCTTACTTTTCCTCTCACTGTTTTTGTCGTTCTCTCTCTCTCTCTGGCGAGCACACTCACCCTAAGGCAAAAAAACTCTAAAAAAAGAATACTATATTGAGAAAGATATAGATACTAATCTTATTAGACATTATTAAACTGATTCTTCTATTGAATCCTTCTTGAATGATTCTAGTATGTCCATATACAAACTAACTAGCCATCATATTTTTCTACAGAATTCTTATATTCACTTAGTAGAAAAGATTTATATCACTGTATGTCTCCTAACAATATACATTCTTTCAGGACCAGTGGTTAGCATAATGGCTATGTTGCTGGACTCCCATGTAGTTGACCACGGTTCGAGTCCTGGACCTGGTGGCTTAAACTCAAACCCGGCGTGTGTGCATGAGTGCCCAGGATCCCGAGAGGAGAATGGAAGAGAAGGGATTGTGGCATGGCCCATCCCCTCTGGGGGCTTATTTCTTGCTTTCTGTCTCTCTCTCTGTCTTTCTGGCGAGTGCACGTGCCCTATAGCAAAAACCTCTCCAAAAAGAAAAAGAATGCAATCTTTCATAAGACCTTATATTTACTACAGCTCTTATTGTGTTCATATTTCTAAGTATCTAATTCTTAGTTTTGTAGTATAAATTAGAACAAAAGATAAAATTTAATATTTGACACTGTATTTTACACATGCCTTGTTTTCTCTTAAAATTATTCCTTCATGTTACATATACTCTTTGGTCCACTGCCCTAATTAGACACTTCCATTGATTATTGAGAATTATATCCTTTTTCAGTTAAGTACTAGTAGTGGTCTTATAATCATGAATTGTAGTTTTTATAAAAATTGATTAGATATGCATTTTTTTCTAGAGCCAAAGAAATGAAATTTTGAAAACTAGATGTACAGTGTTTTCTTGTAGTCTACTTTTGATTTCCACCTGAAGTCATCTTGCATTTTTCCCTGTACACTGATCCCCATGTTAGGCATACTCATACTTCCAAAACTTTTTCAAAGATAGCTCCAATTCCTTGGAGCAACAAGGCTGCTGATGGTTATTTGTCCTTTCACCACAACTAGTAATTGGAAGTCTAGGGTAGGAGAGGAGAAATCTCCCCTCGTAAGTAGTGGTCCTCTCTCCCTTAACCAGACCTCATCTTTTTCACGGGAAGCACAGGTGGAGAAGGAGGAGTTGACTACCATCAGGCAGCCAGCTGTTGAGTAGAGAACAAGAGTGAAGCTGAGGCTGTTCAGATAGGGCCACAGTCCTGCCAAAATGGCTGGGTTTCATCTCCTGAAAGTCTGGGATCCAGACGCTTATGAATTCTGCCATGCTTATGTGATCACAGTAAATCAGCAGACCTTCAATACTCACTTTCAGAATTTCTGATGTATGTTACTTTCATCCCCAAAGAAGAGAGCACTTCAAACAAACTAATGCTTCCAATATCCCATTCTTTCATTTGTTATATCAGCAAGCCTGGCATTTTTTAAAAGCTCTTTCATTCTGATTGAAGTGTGTTAATTCCAAGCACGAACTTTAAACATTTATAAACTTGACAATTTTTATGATAACATTAGTGTAATTTTGTTCTAGTTTGAAATTTAGAAGACCATAAATGTACGTTAGTTGCATAATGAATTAATTGCCTTGGACTTTGACAAAAGTGTTTCTTTATTTTCCTAGTTGTTACAGACGACCATGTACAAATCGACTGAAGCATTGTGAGCAGGGACTTTCCTTTAGTGAAGAAGTCTGTCGCTGTGTCCCCTCATATTGGAAAAGACCACATATGAACTAAGGTCATGCTATTTTCCAGTTCATCATTTTTCTATCATGGAAAACTGTGTTGCCACAGTAGAACTGTCTATGAACAGAGAGACCCTTGTGGGACCATGATCACAAACAAAAGTTTGTGTTTCCTGCACAATGTGGATAACTTTACTGAAATGGACAGGAGCTTATCTGCAAAAGGCCTCTTTTAAAGACTGGTCAGCCAATGGCCAAACAGCCAAGGTTTTTCTCTTGTGACTTTTTTTAAAAATGACTATATAATTTATTTCCACTAAAAATATTGTTTCTGCATTCATTTTTATAGCAATAACAATTGGTAAAGCTCACTGTGATCAATATTTTTATATCATGCAAATATGTTTAAAATAAAATGAAAGTTGTATTATAAGCTGGTAAGTTTAGTCTACTACCTTTTTACATCATAAGCAGTAACTGATAACATGAAAACATTGCCCTCCCCATCCATTTTCTTTTTCTCTTACCAAATGCTAGATTTTAAGTGCGATAGAAAGACGTGAGTTTAAAAAAGAAAATTTCAGTGAGACAACAGTATGCTACTAGATTTTGTTTAAGTTCCTCTCTTTATATATTTAATGATTATAAACATTTTAGCAGAATCAATATAGAACATTTTGTAAGTCAGGCTGCATAGCATTTCCATGTGATAGAAAGTTATTCAATGCAGTGAGGCCATTCAGATTCTTAACTTGGTATAAAATCCTTCAGTGTGTATTAAGATGCTTTAGAATATTTTTTCAAAAGAGATCTTCCCTTAATATTTAATTTGCTGCTAAAATATGTTTTGCAAGCTGAAATACTCTTATTCAATACATAGAAAATAAACTAGAAATATTATTTAAATACTCATATATATTTAAAAGGAAACATTTTAGCCACATAACAGAAGTGCTATTTTCTGTTAAAAGAGTATCACACTAATTTTTTTCTCAGAGAACAAATATTTTGCCTGCATAAATACAGTTAAAGGAGTTTTGCCTGTTGATTGAGAATTAATTATTACATATATGACTTAGCTACTATATAAGACACTTAGTCCTTAAAGGAGAAAAATATCCTAGACAAATATATATATAAAGATAACTCTCTAGAAGGTAGCAAATTTAATAATACAAATGTATTATTAACTGTGACTAATCATCACAATATGAAATATTAGTATCTATATATTTTGATATTTAAATGCTTTCTTTCTTTATATTTAATTGGGAGATCAATGACCTCCAAAATATCCTGTTTTCAATATTGACTTACAAAACTCGTTTTACATGCAACTTTTACTGAATTCCAGTAGGTACTTTGTTCACTACTTAACATCCAATTCATGAAGTACAGTTTTTCAAGTAATAGAAAATAAAAAGAAATGAGTGTTCCAAAAATTCTCTTATTACATATTAATGGACCATTGTTCTGCCTCTTTGAAAAATGACTCTGAAGCCTATGAACAAACAATGCTTGTATTATATATTCTACATACTTGCTAAGGTACTTTTAAACCTTAAGAATAGTAAAAAATAAATAAAAAGGAAAGAAGAAAAAGGAAGGAAGGAAGGAGAAAGAAAAGTCAAAACATCTAGATTACTTTATAATTTTTTTTAAGTAAAAAGAGAAAGAGAAAAAGGCAAATTTCAAAACATCTAGATTACTTTAAAATTTTTTAAGGTAAAAGTTCATAAATGATTATGGGAGGACAATGGGAATCAAAATAACTTCTTTCCATTTGATGGGGAGGCACAATCCCTAGTGCAAAAAGTAGTCATCATCTCTGAAATTCAGCTAAAAGGCAGTTTAAGCATTTTCATCTCATTTGAGCCAAAAAAGAAAGCAAACACACATGAAGTAATCTGTTACTATTGTTCTGGTCAATCATTTTTTAGACTCTATACATATAAAATGTATTCTTTTTTGCTAATTTAGAAAAAAAGTTTTTAAATTTTGAGTCAGCCCTGTGAAGCCATATATAGAATATTAGAACTTGATACAATGGCTCTAACAGGTTATCAATTCAAAAACAATTTAAACTCTCTTCTGGCCAATAGTCTCTCTTTCATAATATTACATATGGATAAGCCAAAAAAAAAAGGACCATACCAAAACTTAAAGCCTGAAGCATGGCAGAAAAGCAACATTTTAATTTGTCCCCGGAGATGTAATAATTGTGATCAAAATCAAGAATGGCATGGGCAAAAATAAGGCATTGCCAGAGATACTTGCAAATGATTTATGTGAACCATACAAATTTCACCTCAGTACTTTATAGTATGAGATGTGGTGTATTCAATTAATAAGATGGACTAGAGATAAAGCTAAAAACTTATTGGAAATATTACTAATGTGTGATTCAGCAAAACGCTAAAATAAATACAGTAAGAATGTCTATAAACTCTGCAAAAGAGTCCCAAGATACCAATGCAGTCAATCTCAAGGACAAAGTTGAGAAAACACTGGAAGCTTGCAGCAACAGTTAATATATCCAAATCTTAGAAAGTTTATAAACAGAATTTTATGTCTAGAAACCTAATACTCAAAAGACCCAAGGGGGAAAAAAAATGTTTTGTTAAGCAGTTGTGTAAGATTTGGCTTCTAGACATTTTTTTTTTTTTTGGAAGGGAGTTTTGACGTTTACTAACTGCCTCAGTGAAACAGATTCCATTATTAGAATTTCTAAAGATAGCCTGTGTTCTCTGTATCCACACCACTCAACAAAAGTTGGAGTGGAGACTATAAAAGTACTGGCATACCCAGAATACACCTTAAGAGAAGGAGAACGTGTCTTAAATACCTCATGCACTCAGGACTTTCTTGGGATACATTGCTTCTGAAGGAATTTCGCTCAGTGGATGAGATAGAAGAAGCAGACACAACGGGTGGGTGAGTTTATATTACAGTGATTGTTAGAGCATATTCTCAAAGCTATGGATGTCCTTACGTGTTTAAGTTACCATATTCATCTATCTAGGGACTGCTGGACTGAGAGTAAATCAAGGTCTCGTGGCTCACACTTTCCCTGCATTACTTTGCTGTCTGACTCCAAGAGCTGAATTCTCCTTTGCATATTTTCCAGAGGATACGTTTGCGGACTTTTATCTCTGAATCAAAAATGAGAATGACATAAAAATGTTATTTCTGCTACAGAAGAGAGAACGCTGACATGTCTGATGTTTACATAGCAGATGAGTCCCTGCAAAGTTTTGAATAAATCCATTCTGGAATACTAAAAGTGTTTAATAGTACACCCAAAGAAACCTATTTAAGCAAGTCAATGACTTATAAAGTAATAAAGTAATTATTTATGAGTAACAACTAGTTTATCTGTTTGTGTGTTTGAATTGTTGGCATATTAAATACTTCTAAGTGAATGATAATTATCAGTTAATTTATGGAAGAGTAAACCAAAGTTTTATATGGTCTTTTTTTTAATCCCATAGTCAACTAATAACTCTTGTTTAAAGAAGCATATATTGAGTATAATTGAAGAAGTGCTGGATAAGGAATCATAAGACAAGTTTTAAATCCTGACTTTTCTGCTGTGTCCTTGAATAAATCACTAGAACCCTTTTACTCACAGTGTCACTCTTTGACAGAAGGGTGCTGGATTCAAAAGGTGGATGAAGTCCTGCCTCTGAACTTACAAAGTTTGAACTAAAACTACATGAAGACCGAAATTGAAACCAGAACATTTTTAAGAACGTTAGGGAATTATTCTTGAAATTAGAGACATACCCCCCCACACCAAAGAGGAAATATTTCTCTTTTAAAATGATTTATGTAAGAAATTATAAATGAAATACCTGTCTTCCTTACACTGTACCTCTAACTCTGTTCTTTAAATCCTAACACATATGGATAGCTCAAAGTGTCATTCTTCCTGATTTTTTTCATATCAAAGTAGAGAATTTGAAAAAAAAAGATTTTTTTATATATCTTGGGAAATATGCATAAAATAGCAAAAATTAAGACTTTTTGTGCACGCCTTCCAAACCTGTCAGATGCACTTGTATTATAATCTGAGCAAGGATTTTGAAGCAGTAATGACCTCTAATGCTCTTACCCTCTGGCATGCCGATGATAGGATTTGATTAGGTACAGGGCTTGCATCACCAGGACTGGCATCTACAAATTTTGGCACAAATGACAGTGAGATACCTTAAGTTTTGTTTAAATCTACTAAATACTGAGTAACTGACTAAAAACATAGCTTTATTAATAAAATTTATAAATATCGTTAAATATAGAAAAATGGTTTCAGGAGTATTCTACACACATTTCTCTATATGACTTTTTTTTTTTTTTTTTTTTTTTTTTTTTTTTTTTTTTTTTGTTATTTTTTTTTTTTTTTTTTTTTTTTAGATTTTTTTTTTTTTTTTTTTTTTTTTTTGCTATAGGGTATTGACTTTATTTTTTAAATTGTCGGAAGTCCCATGTACTTGCCGGAGGGTACACACACTCACCAGAGAGAGAAAGAAGGAGAAAGTCCAACACAATGGGGTGTGGTCATAGCACAATCTCTTCACCTCCATTTCTCTATCCTGTTAGAATTCTGGGCATGCACATGGACTGGCATGTTTTCAAACTGTCAGGGCAGTGATATGAATCTTGATTAGCCACAATGGAATCTGGCTCCCTTAACCACTGTGCCACAGGGTTGATCCTACTTTATATGACTTTCTAACAATGTTTTTAGTGTGTTGTTCAAGTCATGTAGAATTTTTTCCCACATTTAAAGACAGTTGTACATCTTAATCTTTTGAAAAATAATTATCTTCATATTCAGATGTCTGCATTTCAGTTCTGTATATTTATATTGGGAATATTATTATGTCTACAAAATGTAACTATGTTCATTTGATTCCAAACCAGAGCAATACAAAAACACAAACTCCTTTCTTCAGAACAAGTGATATATCTTTAAATACATACCATTGAGATTTCATAGCACTCTTTTTAACATGTAACACATGGATCCTCTCAGAACTTTACACTTCATATTTACTTCCTATTACAGTTTATCCTCAAAGCATTTCATTTTCACTCTATTGCCTATGA